GGCCCACTTGAACTCACTTTTTAGCCCAAGGTGGTCTTGAACGCACACCAATCCCCCTGCCTCAGCCTCCTGAGTGCTGGGATTACAGGCGTGTGCCGCCATGCCTGGCCCAGGCAAGCTTTTTGCTGGCTGTGTGACAGCCTCTCTGGGCCTCAGCTGCCTGGTCTGTAAACAGAGTAACAACATTGCTGACCGTGACAGACTGAAAGGGACTAAAGGTGTCAGAGCACCTGAGAGAGCACCTGGCACTTGCCGCCTGGATGCAGCTCGGAAATGGGATCGGGAAGATTCCCGGGTGTGTAGGCTGAGCACCAGCTCCCCCCGGGCACTAGGTTTGGCATTTTCCTCACGTCTCCCTGCTTGGTAAGAATGACCGATGCGGAGCCCTGACCACGGGAAGCACCACACTAAGCACTTTCCCCACTAACACGATGCAGCCTCCCCAAACCCGTGAGGAAGAAACAAGCTCTGGCAGGCCCACTTTACAGAGGAGGAAGGGCCAGGCATGTAGCTCAGCGGCACAAGCACCTGCCGAAAAGCGCAAGGTCCTGAGTTCGATTCCTGGTACCGATAAAAAACATCACTACAGAGGAGGCAACTGAGGCAGAGCGGCTGAGTCACTTGCTCGAGGACCCACCATGGAGGAGCTGGGTTTCCATCCAGACAAGTCCGGCTGCAGAGCCCAGGCTCTGGGTATCTCCGCGCCCCAGGCCACCCTAAGTGGACACTGACATGCCACTTTGCAGACAAAGTAAGAGAGTTCAGCGACCTCTCCACAAGCGGGCCTCTGGGCTTCCCCTGAGACATCTCAGGGTGAGGCTTCCTTGCCTGCCCTTTCTTCAGCTGGCTCGGCACTGCCTGCCACGCCAAGTGTTATTCCTGAGAACTGGCCTCTTTCCCCAGAAATGTCCCAAGGTGGCACAGACAAAGGCAGCAAGCGGGAGTCCAGGCGCCCAGCCCTGATGTGGGTGGCCGCCTCCCCTGGCCCCGCTCCCCAGGCTCCCAGGCTCCCCAGGTCCAGCCACACTCCAGTGTGACTCAGCCTGCGGCCAGCCGAGGCCAGAGAGGCTCTATTTCAGAGCCTGCGGTCTCCAGCCTTGCCCGCTGACACTCTCACTCCTGGGGCACTGCCAAGCCTGGTGTGGCAGCAGAGTGAAGCTCGACTCTCCCGCTCTGCTCCTGCCCCCAGGGCAACTGTCGCCTGCTCACCCCGCTTCAGATGCAGGGAGCCCCTTCTGGTTCTCCCCCCGGAGTTCTGATTCCCAGCAGGAACCTGGAAACTGTCCTCGCTCACTCGGCCTCCTGCCTGAGTCTCTCCCGCACCAGGGACCTGCACGCCAGGCCAGGGCTGTCACCCAACTCTGGGCCCCTGGCCCGTGGCACCCTCCCCGCAGGGACATTCCAAGTGAGCAGATACTCGCTGTTCACGCAAGTACCTGGAACTGTGCCTGACGCATAGTAGGTGGCTGGCGCACGGGGTCTCCGGGAGGATTTAATGGGGGCCAGGGGGGCTGTTTTCTGCTCGGCTGGAGCTGCCCCGTTTCTGAGTAATCTGCTTAGCCTCTTCTCCAGGGCACCCCACAGGCCACCAGGGGCTCCTACCTGCCATCAACAGAGCGGCTCTCTTAGCTCGTCCACCTCCCCTTATTGCCTCCCACCGTGGGGAAAAAGCAGGGAGCCTTCTTGCTCTGGTTCCTGATTTCCTATTTTTGAAGCAGACACAGATTCAGATCATAATCACCAGAAGAGAAGGACAGCAGAGAACACACAAGGTAAGCGGACCAGGTGCAGGACGGAGAGACAGCTGGGGGCGGACGGGAGGACCGAGGCACTCGGTAGAGAGTGCACTCCTGGCTCCCAGGAAAGGGCGGCCAGATCTTCCAGTCCTTCGCGACAAGCTGCAGCCCCGAGTCTCTGTGTACGGAGCCTCCCACTTTTCTCCCTTCACGCTACGCGGTACAGACCACCGGTTTGACTGAGCCGTGGCCCAGCGTTTACCGACCTCTGCCTGGTACTGCGTGCTAGAATGAAGCAGATTCATTTGTAACCTAGAAATTCTGAATCCTACGGAGGCCCAAATCAGCCCACAAGCCACAGGGACTCCTTACCGATGCCATGTGGCCTCTGGTTCCCCAGCCAAAGGGGCTCCCACCCCAGAGACCTCTCCATGCTTCCTGCAGCAGCCACACAGCCCAAAGAGGAAGAGAGATGTACTCAGCTTGATAGAGTGGCTAGGGACTGAGAGCACACCTCTGTGAGCAACCTCAGAGCGCAGGCGGGGAAACTGAGGCCCAGAAAACAAAAGGAATACTTCTAGTACCTACACAGTAAACATTAGCTTCAGTGGGCCCAGAAAACAGAATCCCAGCTGGGGTCAGGAGTAGTGGTGCACGCCTATAATCCCAGCACTCAGGAGGCTGAGGCAGGAGGATCGTTGTGAGTTCGAGACCTGCCTGGGCTACAAAGTGAGCTCAAGGCCAGCCTGAACTGCACAGCGAGACCCTGTCTCAAAAAGACA